AAAAGTAAATTCACATCTGTACAGTAGAACACAGGAGAAGAAGGTTCAACACTCTTCAGCAATAAAAAACAATGAAGCACAATTGTTAGTTTATCTAAAGTCAATTTTGCTTGTTAGTATGGTTGAGCTGGATCATCAAAGGTCAGCAGCAAATACATTGGTTAATAAAATGGGATTAGATACATTTGTGTTATTTAACATATTTAGTTATTGCAGGTTTGCGTCATATTCTGAGTTTGCATTTCACTGTTTTAATTAATTTTGATGAATACTAAATCTGTTTTTTGTGAGTGGGATGAATTAATGCACATTCACATTTAGTCTAGAATTTCAGTAACATCATGTTCACACAGCGCACACGACTCCTCTGCACTTCCGATTTCTCCCAATATGGGGACAGGAGACTTGTCAGTCAATAAATGGGAAAACAAAGTAACTGGTGTTACTTTTTTGAAAAAGTAACTCAGATATTTTCTTGTAAATTAAAAAAGTCATGCGTTACTTTACTAGTTACTTGAAAAAAGTAATCTAATTACGTAACTCAACTAACGCAACTAGTTAATGAGATTTGGTCCCGACTCCCTGTACTAAAATGTTACCTATTTATTTTAATAGGACAGTCAAGACCAAACAGACAAGAGGATCTAAAGAGGGCTATATACTGTAACACTGGAGAATAATGTTGGGCAATATGCTCAATTTTCATATCGTCCTATCGTCAGCCTGTGAGATCGCCGATACACTGTATTATCATGCTAATTTATGTAATTATTTAGCTCCATTGCGAGAAAGTGAACCAACTCCAGCATAAGGCTAAAAGCAGCCTAATGTTTTTAATATGACTGAATTTGTATTTAACATGATAACAAATTAATAGAAACATCGTAAGTTACTAATTATAATGCTTTCATTTCCTCAGTTATTCAAAAGGCAGCTACAGAAAACGAGCAAAGAACATTACATTACCAAAGAACATCATCACAAGCTCAGTCTAGCGCGAGTTTATGCACTTTAAAAACACTCCCTTTAAAATCAGTGAATATACACTGCATGATGAATAAATCTCTTATACTTACATCGCACGTATTTCTGCACTTTGTTGTTTATGAGGAGAGAATTCGCGAGTCAGAATTCAGTCAGCGCGCATCTTATTGGCCATTACATTCATAAGCTCAGCATAATCGTGTGTGATTGGTTAGAACGCGCAATACTGTAAAAACGCGGAAAAAGAAATATAATGCAACAAATAAGCCCTAATATTAATTAGATAGTATTACTAGCCTGATAATAATAATAATAATAATAATAATAATCGTCTTGCTATCGTCAAAGGCATCAGCCACAGGCGATATCTCTGTCTATCGTCAATACATGATACTATCGTCTATCGGCACAACCCTACTGGAGAAAGCTATCTATTAGCATCGGCATTCATCACAAAAACTTTTCTTTGTCCAAAAAGCAATCAGGCACTGGTAAAATATTTAACCTGTAATATAATGAAATGTACTAAGTTTTATTTTGTTAGAGTACAGCTAAAGGCCTGTTCACACCAAGCTGAGTGTTCGATGCAATAAACAGTTTATTTGAATTTGAATGAACGTTCGCAATCGCATGCTGTAAATGTGCTGACTATTCGTGTTGGTGTAAACAGGACTTAGGTTTAAAATGCTGTGAGAAAAGGAAGATGCTTTTTGGTGTATTTATGGTACTATTAACCAACAGTGAAACAAACCTATGCTAACCAGTTTGATGTTGACCACCAGGGTGCAACACCAATGCTTGTAGTAAACTCAGCATGCAATGTTCAAACCTGTGCCAAAGCTAACCTGTTTATTGATATTTTACTTACAATCACAAGTAGCCTCCCAAGTGTTATGTGAAAAAAATAACGACCAGTGTTGTTATTGTTAAATAGAAGTAACCTGATTAAAAATCATTAAATGAAGCTGAATAAAATATAAATATTACATGAAAAACTAGAAATGTTGCCTTCTCAACTAACTGAAATGAAATAAATTTAAAGACCTGGGGCCTCATTTATAAAACGTTGCACAGAAACCATCCTAAATTTGATCTTACGATCATTTCTCAAATATGCGTATGTGTGATTCATAGAATGAACGTACGTACAGACAAAATGCACGTACGCCTCTCTTTCAGATTTGAAATCTATGAATCGCAAATGATCTTGAACTTGCGCGCAGCTGAATGGTTTTAGCTCTCTGTCTTGTAAACGACTCCTAATTAATGTCATTAACATGCAAAAGATTGCAGTCATCATCCAAATTCTTTAATTTAGAACAGCGAGCTGCAAAAACAGCTTACATTTCCAAAAACCTGTAGTACTCGAACAAGAAAAAGTGCGGACGTCTGCTCAGACCCTGACGTGACGCTAAGCACTTTTCCACGTCAAAGCCAGTTTTTACAAATATGAGCATTGGCGTGGATTTAAGCGTAGACACACTCTAAGATCAGATCTGAGCGTACGCACGCTTTATAAATGAGGCCCCTGTTCACACCAAGAATGCTAACTATAAATAGAACTTTATATTAGTGTCCACATCAACACATGATAACATGCTGTTTGTTATAAGCATGCTGCAGTTATGTAATCTGTTGCTTTAAATAATCAGGCTCATTAAAGTCAGATAGATAGGATGTCAGTGTTTTTTTAATCACTCATCAAATAAAAAAAAAAGTTTGAAAGTGATTCCAACTATATAGTTCCTCTGTGTCGTTATTGTTATAAATATGATGCGGATTTCCCTGTTCTCACAGAATTAGAGTGATTATTACAACTTTATAGTTATCAGTAGTTATCATCCCTGGAGTGAACATCCCTTAAGTTGAAGTACTAAAATTACTATTTAAAGCTGTGTGTGTATGTGTGTATATGTATGTATGCATATATATATATATATATATATATATATATATTATTAAATAAATAGTATAGAAATAATACTAAAATAACACTGAATCAGACCATGAGACCATCAGACATAAGAAAGCCAAGCCACAGTCATCTCAGTAGGAATCAGGTCAGTCACACAGTCTAGGTGTAAAGTCTCCTCTACCGTCTCCTTCACTATATGTAGAATCATTATTCAGAATGGCTGGAGGGAGTGCAGGAGGTCGGTGTGGAGACGGAGGGAGGCTGGAATTAGGTATTTCACAGAGTTGCTCTGTGTATTAGAGAAAGAGGTTTACCCTAAAGTTTAACTTTCACTGGCTGTTTGAATGAGGGGTTGGAAGGGCAAAGCCACAAATCTTCTGTTCATCTGGTACTGTTTGGAGGGTACTGTGGTGTGTATGAGGGACCTATTAGTGTGTATTTCTGTAAATAAGCTGTTTGTGTGTGTGCGGTGTCCTGATTGTTTGTTAAGGGGCCCTGTGCTGTAGATGTGGTAGTCTGCTACAACAGGAACGCTAATGCTTCCTCTGAGGCCGGTGAGGAACAGCATGATTAGCCCTCCAGCCCCCCGGGGGGAGCCGCTGCGCTTTCCTTGCTCTAATTCACTTTGACGTCAACAGGAAGGCAGATCAGGTCTCAGGAGGTGGGCTGCGGACTGTATGGCTGTGTAGAGGGCTCTGGGGCTTTGGGAGGCTGAGGGAGGGATTACAGAACCCTAAAATGTTTTCTTTGTAGTTTGGAAGAAACCCGAGAAAGGTTTCACACGAACCTATACTGCCAGACTGAAGCGTGGGGGGCTGGCCGCCATTCCTGCATCTTTGTTTGCCCACCTACCCAAGCTCACACACACACATACAGCCTCTATTAAGCCAGAACAGAAGGACACACACATACATATACTTTCACGCAAAATATCAAATTACTTTTCAAATTGTGGGTCAGCAGGCCCACGGGTATCACGCAGCGTCAATAAAAAAGATCCCTGTTTTCCAAAGCATGCGGTGTTGCTTATACCTAAATCAAAATTTTTGCTCATTTTACAAGTTGTGCTGTAATGCGGCTGGAGTAATAATCTCAGGTTTGCTATTAGAGCGCAGACCGTTAGATGTAACTGTACTCAGAAGGCTTCTTTTCTTGTGTTGTAGACTGGAGGGCAGTGCGCTGTCGGACCGGCTCCAACTTCAGATGCTCCGATGCTGAGAACAAGCAAACTGTAAGTTCCTAAATCAACACTTCCATGTCCATTCAAAAACACACGTGCTCTGTTCCAAAAGATGGTGAGCTGCCTATGTAGGCAGTATTTTTAGGCATCATAGATATGCCCCTGATGCAAAGGTTGTTGTAGGTCATCTAAGATCAGGGTTGGGTAAAATTCTCTAAAATTTCTATCTATCTATCTATCTATCTAGATATTCATTCATTCATTTAATTCTATTAATAAACTGCTATTTTACACAAATGTTTGTCTGAGCTGTTAATATCTTAGCTTATTAGAGTTAGCTTAGCAACATGCTAACAACAAACTCCATAGAAATTAACTTTAAACTATGCACTTAATGTGAAAAATTTTGTGCGATGGCCCTTGTTTGGCATTGCTGCCTCAGTTTTCATTCTCAGTTCACCATTTATGAGGTTCAGGTTCATTTTAGGATGCTAGCAGCTGCTTATGTAGGCAGCAGACAGCAAGGCAACTCACTAGGTGTTGGAACAGAGCCATGATTGTCGCCAGATTCTTTTCTTCCATTTTAATGTAAGAAAGGTAAACCGTGGTTGTTTGCACAAATGCGCCAAGCAGCTTTTGAAGTCATGCATTAAGTGCAGTCTTTCATAATAATACTTTTATATAGAGTTTTTTTTTTTTAGCATGGATAGCAAATAAAATACTCTCACACTTATGAAGATGGCTGATAAATATGCAGTGTCACCTATCGAGCCGCCTAGAATATACAAACCTGTGATTTCTCTGCAGTGATATTGCTCTTCTGGAGTCGCTGAGTTATTCCTTGCTGGTTTAGTCAGAATTGGGCATTTACAGATGAATTTCGAAATGAATTTTCCAGCGCTTGCTGTTCGTCTGCAATCACCCCGACTGTGTTGTTTAAGAGTTTGTTTCCTCACTTTAATAGCACTTTTTGTTATGTCCTTATAGAGTGCAAATTTGTTCAAAAACACAATTTGTGTCTTTAATGGTTTGTGGGCTCAGGCTGGAATTATGTTGTGGATGAGTGAGAGAGGCCGAGTCTGAGGGAAACATTTGTGTGTGGCAATATGCTGAAGGGTTAACTCTTTGCTTTTCAGAGGGGGTAAAAGCCAGGCAAGTCTCTTTAATTGAGTGTGAAAACAGCTGGGTATCTAGAGCCATTTTCCCCCACAGCAGCATGGAAGGGACTATCTCAATATCCTCCTGACTCTAATCGCTCATAACCCCAAATTCCCCCTTTCTTTCTCTCCCTCTCGCTCTCGGAGCCCTGCCGAGGATTGTTTTACGCTTAATTTTGTTAAACCTAATGAGATTTCCCTAATTAAATCTCCTCCTGACTGGAAAGCTCTCTCTCCTGTCGAGTGAAGTGATTGTTTGTAGATCTTTTTAGACAAATAAACATTTTCGGAGCGAAAGCACAGCGCAAGAGAGATGGAAGGAGCCTGCATCTTTTCATTTTTGCGGTAGCAGCCCTGTGCTACACTCACCATGCTTTGCTTAATGTCTTTTCACCTCATTTTTCACCTTCTCAAATGATCAATACTAGTTCCTCAGGTCTCATATTACAGCTAAGATGAAGTGAATTAACTTATTGTACATTATGTCAAATTTTAACCGGGAGCAGTGTTGGGGAGCAACCAAATAAATGTAGCGATGCTATTAGCTTTGTAGTAGCGTAACAAAAGCTCAGCTACCTTCAAAACTGATTCATTTTTTTTAGTTATAAGCCACTAATAACTACAATGAATCCCTTAAGTCTGATTCTTTTTAATTAATTGGTTAACTTAGATAATTCATTTGAATACATTGACTTGTGTGATGATTTGTTCAAACTGATTCACTTGGATGAGTCATTTAAATGAATCTGTTTAAAAAAAAAAGCCACAGATTCATTTGAGTAGATTAATCTGTTTAGAGTGAGCATTGTAGCACTGTATCCAGCATTATTATGTGCAATTTCACAAAATGCTACTTTATTGTATTAATATACTGTTTATTTATTTATTTATGAACTTATCCAAATGTACTAATTTGAACCATGGCTAACCTTTATGGCTAAGTTTTAATGTAGCATTCCCTGTGCTGTGAAATAGTAGTGATTCTAGACAGATCCACGACTGAAAGCCTCTTTTATAGAAGCAATATTGTGATTTATATAAGGTTGTATGAATATGTATGTATGTGTGTGTGTGCCAGGATCTTGTTTTGTGTAGGAAAGTGCCGCTGGGTGTGTCTGTTCCATTGAACTCTCTGAATAAAAGGCCTTGAGAGTATTGTTGACTGCGGTCATTGAGCTGGTATTGTGGATGCCCCATGGGAGACTATTGTGGGACTCGACCTTCTGTTTCCCGTGCCGACTCCGGAAAGCTAGTGCCAAGACGCCTTCACACACACATCACAGACACACACCATTCCAACCAGACCCTATTCTTTGCCCCTCCTGTGGACCGTTGGGCAGTCTGCCCAGCTCTTGTGAAAGGTGCCCTCTGATTTTAGCCCCTCTGATCAAGTTTCTGCCACCAGTTGCCCAGTTTGATGTGAGTAAGTAGGGTGAGGAGTCAAGGGAGATGTCCTGGCTTCTGGCACCAGCAGGCCACACACAACACCTAGATCACCGTGTGACTGTTCATTATTCAAGGACTGGCTTGACAAAGCGTCCTTTGCGTGGAATGTAACCGTTGTTTATTTGATTTCCAGAAAGCTCTATTTAAAACATGAAATCAAAACAAGCCATGCACAATGCATCAGAGCACGTTAATCAAAAGGGGTAAAAAATGTATTGTAGTTCTAATTATTTTTTCTTAAAAATGTAATCATTTTCTCCATTCCTGCAATCAGTTTTCTGCTGAAATAATCAAGGCTGTGGCAAAATTATACTAACTAATAATATTATAGCTTAATGTTTTCATAATCAAAGTCCCGCCTACATTATTTATGCCACATTACAATGTGTTTTTGGCATCATGAAGGTACACTGAACTAAAATCAACCTGTTAGTTGACTTCAAATCATAGAAAACATTTAATTTCAGCAGATTCTAATACTAAAAACGTATTATTTCCATAGTCATGGAAAAATATCGTGGAATTTTAGAATGGTAATTTCGGTTCCTGGAAAAGCATTATAATTCATAAAATCTAAAATGCATGAAAAAGCCATGGACATTATTATAATGAATATATATTTTTCTAGCTACACTTAGATATAAAATATTTAATCATTTTATGAGTAAAATACTGAGGGAAAAACATGAAAAAAATTGGAAATTTATTGGTGAAAAGTTGTGTGAATCCTGCATTATTTATTATTATTAATGTTGTTAATCTATTATTATTATGGCAGCAGAAAGAGCCTTTGCAAAACATTTAACTTCCTTATTTCTGTGTCAAACATCATGTAAGGCAGCACTTTATTTTATCTATTGGTATTATTTTTGTGTTTTATTTTGTTTTCTTGGACCTAGGATGCTTGTTAGAAAGTAAATGTGGTCCATTTTGATTTCATGTTGCCGTTTAATAGTGGATATTAATATTTTTTTTCTGTATAGCATCAGTTTACGTGGGCATTAACAGTACAGTACCTTGTGTCATTGAACAGTTGATTAGTATGATTCCTTTTGCTCTTTCTATAACAATCTCAACCTCATCATCATCATCATCTCCACCACCCCTGGCCTTCACCCCGAGTCTGTTCCTCATCAGCCTCGATTAGCATTATGTTGATTTAGCCTAGCAGCCCCCACCAACCCAATGGAGGCTTATTAGGTTGAATATTTTTATTTATTTATTCCCGTTTTCTTGGGGTCCCTGTCGGCATTTCCAATTACTCTCGCCGTTCGGCTGTAATTGCCTCCGTGCTAATGGCTGCCAGACAATTGTGCTAAATGAGGTGAAGGCGCGAGGCAGCGAGCTCGACTTCATTAAGAGCTAATGGGATTTTATTGGGGGGACTGAAGACCCAGCTCATCAAAAAGGAGAGATGGAGGGAAAACAAAACAGATGGAGGAGAAGAGGCTGAGAGAGTTTTATAGGCGTTTTCTTCAGTGTCTGCTTGTCTTAAGTTATGTTGGACAAGAATGCGCAACCCTACTGTTTTACCATTGCCGAAATACAGACACACACACTTGAATCTCTCAAATGCACAGACACACGCAAAACATGCGCGCTCTGCTAAGCAAACATCCATGTGCATGTAACTGATAGATACTCATATAAACGCATTAAAATTCAACATAACGTGCATGCTTGAAAAGATGAAAGAGATGGAATTACAGTGAAGATTTTGTGATAATCTGTGCATGTCAATCTGATTACACAGATTTCTTAGATAACATAAATCGAGTGCCAAACTTTGCACTTTAAAGTGTGCATCACTTCTAGCTGAAAAGAGCATTTGCTTGACAGCAATCTGAAAAAAAAAAAAAAGAATCACATTTCCCAGATTTCAGTTGTTGTTTTTCATTGCGGCAGTTTGTTTGGATATGATGAAAGATGCAAAACGGCATCATGTCTGACTGGATGTCATATAGATGTTAAAAGCTCTTCAAATCAACGTCAGAGGAAAGATTTAATGTTCATTTAAAACTAACCCATAAACCACTGAAGTGTGTTTTCGTTTTAAACCTTGTTTATCTCTCTCATTTCAGCAGATTTATATCTGTGTGTGTAAGGCAGAGACAGAAAGTCTTTTTGGAGCGCTAATACTAATAGAAACAACCTGACATAGACAGCAGTTCCTTAGTGGGTGATTTAACTGTCTTTTGTCATGCTGTTCTGCTTAAAGCAAACGCACTGCTCTGTTAGTGTTTTCAGGGTTTGGCTCTACAGCATGTTTACTGAGAACAGATGCTCTTCTAACTTTCTGAACACTAGCTGTGCACACTTGCTTTTGTCGTTTACCATGCTTCATTTTTTGTTGTAATGTTTTTCATAAGGTTTTATGGTTTTACTTTAAAGATACCACTTTAGTTAATTAAAATATGATCATAAACTCTTATTTTTTGCAATTACTTCTA